TTTAGAATAAATATTTCATTTTCTGCAAACAGAGCCTATTAAGATCAGTCTATATATTAATTAGGGGCAGACCTGACATGTTAACAACATTGAATTCTTTAATCAATCAATATGGCATACCTTTCATTTTATTTGGATCTAATTTAAATTCTCACAATATTTGATGCAAAGGATTTGGATAGCTTCTATTAAAATTGAACATTAGCTTCTTATCATATAATTAATGGAATGTTTTTATTGAGTTTCTCTATTATTCCTGTTTATTTGTAGAAATACAATTGATTGTTTTATATTGACTTTGTATACTGTGACCTTGCCAAATTCACTGGTCAATTTTAGGACTCTCAATCAATTTGATAAATGAGAACAACTTAATTTCTTTTTCCAAGTATTTAGGCTTTTAATTTTACCAAAGTTAGAGCATTGGATATGCCTCTATTGTTATTTAAATTGGCTTTATTGAGGTCAGTTTGCATATAAAAATTCATTTTTAAGCATATAATTCAGAGAGTTTTGACAGATGCATAAAAGTATGTAATCACCACCACCACAATTATGACATAAACCTCTCTATCATTTTGCAAGTCCCCTTAAGTCCCTATGCAGTTGATTCCCACCTCACCTTAGCTCTTGAGAGCCACTGATCTTTATTCTATCATTTTAGCTTAGCCTTTTCCTAATATTATGTAGAGGAAGTGATATATAGTATTTCATGTCATTTTCTACCATATATACTATAAATCACAAAATTCAATTTTATAATTTTTATTTTAAATTGTATTGTCTCTAAATACATTAAAAGAACAAGAAAAACATTCATTTATATTTACACATATTTTTTACTCCTGCCACTCTTCACCTTTTCGGTAAACTGAATTTCCATCTGGTTAATTTCACTTCAGCCTCAAAAAATTTCTTAGCACATCTTATAGTGAGAGCTCCTGGCTATGAATTCTTTCGTATTTCATTTATCTAAAAATATTTCTGTTTGATTTCAATTTTCAAGAATTTTTACTGGATATAGAATTATAATTTTTTTCAATAATTCATTAATTTCAAAGTTAAATTACTTTGGAGACATTGCTTTGATTTTTGGCCTCCATTATTTTTTATAAGGAGCCATGTGTTATTTGTATCATTACTTTCCTAAATGAGTAATATACCTATTCCCAGGCCCACCCTCCCCATAAGGATGCTTTCACAATATTTTTCTAAATCTTGACTTTCAAGTGTTTGACTTACATGGGTCTCAGTCTAGGTGTGATTTTATTTCCTGTATTGTTTGGCCTGTTAAAATTTGGGGATCTAAAAACTGATGTAATTTACCAAAAATTTGGGGGAAATGTCAATCATTATTTTTCCAAATGAACATATGTATAATAGTTGTTTAAAATAATTTTATGTGAATATCAGTCTATGAATCATCTTGGAATTTGTTTTTTATTGATTTTTTTAAATTTACATTTTCCTGTCACATCACATATCCAACAATTTTTATTATTTACTGGATATTGTCAATGATTTCTTGTAGACATTCTGAATTCTGCTACTTTTTTCTTAAAGAGGGTTTAAAATTCTATCCCCTCAAACTACATTGAACTTGATGGGACTTATACTTCGAAGTGGTAACACTTAAAATTTCTTCTCAGCTATTTTAACCTTTCAGTTACTGTTTATTTCTTTATTCTGCTTTCATTAGAGTCTCCCACACACTTTGAGATTAGCCTATGATTGAAGCATAGATTACATTATGGATTTTTGGATTCTTCACTGTGGTTTGTTCTTTCTGGAATTCCCTTCTCAATTTTTAATATCTCCATCAGCCCCAAATTCTACTTTCTGATTCCTCAAGCTAATAATACTGAAGTTTTCTGCTTGAATTATAGCTGTCCTGTGCCACCTGCAGAGTGCCCTCGGGGGAAAAAGCTGAATAAATATTCCTCAGATGAGCTGTTTTCTTCCCTGGGTTACATTATTCTCAGTTATCTGGTTTTGGTTGTTATTCTGTACATTTAGATTACTGATTTACTATTTAATCCAGGAAGCATAATTTTTATATACAGGAGACGTATTCATACCAGCTATTCTGCCATTATATGATAGGAACTTTGTCCATTCATGTGTAAGACATTAAATAGCTTATAGAAACATTGGGTTGCTGAGCCTGTTTAATGGTGGGTGTTACTCCAAGATGATTATAGAAATTAGGATATTGTGCTGGTGGTATCCTAATTGGATACCCAATTATTGGTATCCATAGGCCTCTCTAATCTTGGGTGATTCGATTTTCCTAGTGAAGAATCCTCCAGTTTCCGTATGAATGGAGGTAGGATAGATAGAAGCCAATTTGCCAGCACTTTAGAGCCCTTGGGTCTCACTGCTTATTTTACAGAGTTTCACTTAATCTGTTTTTATTTATATCTAATAACCTAAAAAATTTTATCCTACCTTCAGTTAAATCTACTGTATTTTCCAAGAGTTTGGTAGGAGTGTTTTTGGACTATGAATGGTCAGGAGGGAGAATCTAGGCTGGAGTTTCATGTTAAAAGTTTCAACCAATGTTTTGTTCTCTGTCCCCCCCACCTTTAGAACTACCTTGTATTCTAACTTCAGAGTATTTCTTGATTCTGTGTAAAGAATTAGATATTTCTAACTGGATTTTTCCATTACATCATGTCTTTCCAGTCTTCTAAGTCAATCACCATTTGTCCATATGTTCAAGATTTTAACATTACTTCTCTTTTTTTGAGTTTATACTTCTATTCATTTTCTGGTCATTTTCATTGTGGTTTGGTTAAGAGTAAATTGTATGTTATTTAATCCCTATCCTGTATTAAGATAATTTTTATTAATTTACATCCATCCAAATAAAAGTTTTGTTGTAGGGATTAAATAAAAGATAGTAGTTTCCTGCTTATAAATAGGGCACAGAGTCCAAGGCATTCAATGGATGCCTAAAACCACAGATAGTCCTCAATTCTATATATACTATTTTTTTTCCCATACAGACATTATAAGTGACTAATGGGCAGTAGTATATAGAGGGAGGCTACACTGGACAAAGGGATGATTTACATCCTGATCAGGATAGAATGGAATGGTATTAAGAGATTACCACATTATATGGAAAAGTGTGAAGTTAAAATTTATGAATTGTTTATCTCTGGAACTTTTCATTGAAGATTTTGAGGTCTCAGTTGACCAAGAGTAATTGATACCATAGAATGAAACTGCAGATAAGGTGGGACCTTCTTTTTAAACCTGAGTGAGTAGCACTTTTACAAGTCATTTATGAAAAGAATAGGTGTCAAATGACACAGTGTATGCTGAATGTAAATATCAATTCTATAATCATCTATGTACCATGAAATGGCTGTTTTTCCATCCATTATTCCCCAGAACAGCAGGAGATAAGAGACTTAATCATGTCTCTCAATGTAACATGCTTGCTTTGGATCTATGTGAGAACAGAATTGCTTATGATGCACAAGCATTTACATGCAGTGCTGCCACTTCTGGACCTGTCTGGAAGAGTTGTGAATAAAAATGGCTTAGCTAACTACTTTATGCCCATCCTTTCACCAAGCCAAGGGAAATTTATTTAGTGAATTTACTTTAGAGAGCTTTATTATCTTGGTTTGCTTATGAGGTTGAGTTTCTAACATGAAGGTTAGTAAATTTATTCTTCAGATAATAACATCATGTATTTTCAATCTCTCACCAAATAATCCACTATGTAACAGAATTTGTATGAACTTACATATATTTGACATTTTAAAGAACATTTGTAAATTGAGCATGTGTTCATCATCATGATATTACCTGTCAGGAAAAGTTACTGTGTTAATTTGCCAGTTTCAATCAACTAGTGTTCACACACTTATCATTACTTGGATTGAATTTATCATTGTTTTTTTTCATCAATATAGTGATAGATATTCAACCAATTCTTAGAACAGCCATGACAGGTGATGGACAGACATAAGAATGTTTCTGATGGGATACGTCTCTTGTGAAGAAGAAAACTTTAAATGTAGCATTCTTTACTGCTGTGAATGGTGACAGGTCCTGCCTTAAGGCAGAAGGTTCGACTAGTTTGGGTTCTCCGGGGCCCTTCCAGACCTGTAATTCTCTAAGCCACTTCTGTTGCTGGCCTTCAGACGCTGAGATCCAACTAGACACAGCCAAGCATGTGCCTCTTTAGGAGCTCCAGCAGTGTCAGAGGCAGCAGTGCCACCAGCAGCAACAACAACATCTATTCCATCTGAAGACTTCACCCAAAGGTGAGTCAAGTTAGCTTAGACCTAGGCCTTTCCCTTTCCTCCAGCTTCCACTGGATGCGAGCACCGGAGCCCTGGAGGACTGAAAACCACAGGACACCCTCTGCCACCAATATAAGCTTTGACACAGGGACGAACGAGGGATGGCTGGTTGGCTGGTGCTGGGTGGGAGGGACTCGCTAGGAGACACGCTCGAGGAGGGATGAGTTGCACCAACAATGACCAGGTTCCTTTCGCACCATGGGCTGGGTGCCCGCCACTCCCGGAGCTCTCAGCCCACTGCACGCGGTCTCCTTCCAGGCGGCCGGCTCCCGCGGGAGGGCGTGTGGGATGATGCTCCCTGGTCCTGGTGCCTTCTCCAAGCTCCAGCATCCGGAGCCGCCCTCAGCTGGCACCGCCGCAGCCACAGCCTGGGCGGGAGAAAGGGAAAAGGGAGGGGGGCTGGAAAGGCTCGGCGAGAGGGAGGAGGGGAGGGGGGGAGGGAAGGAGCGAAGGGGAGGGAATCTCTCTGCTCTGCGGTGCCTCCCCCTCGTCTCTCCGGCTGGCGGTGACTCCGGGTTCCCTCTCCACACCCGCTCGCAGTGGCTCACCCCCTTCTCCGCCCACCCTTCCTCCGGAGCGCGCCGGAGGGGAGCCGCAGCCCGCGCGCGGCGGCGGCGGAGCCGGGTGGCGAAGGCGGTGGGTGTGTGCGTGTGTGTGAAGGACGCCACCTCTCTCTCGATCCTGCTTCCTCAGGCGGCGGGCGGCGGGGCTGCAAGCTCCGGCAGCGGCGGTGGCAGCAGCGGCGGCAGCAGCGGCGGCTTCCGGAGTCCCGCCGCGAAGATGCTCAAAGTCACGGTGCCCTCCTGCTCCTCCTCGTCCTGCTCTTCGGTCACCTCCAGTGTGGCCCCCGGGGCTGGGAGCGTCGTCTTGGATTACTGGATCGACGGTTCCAACAGGGATGCTCTGAGCAATTTCTTCGAGGTGGAGTCGGAGCTGGGACGGTAAGGCGGGGCGAGGCAGGTTCCCTGGACCAGGCGGAGCTCTGAGGCGCGGGCGAGGGCTGGGGACGCCTGCAGCGTGCACCCGGGTTGTCCCCCTTACAGTGACTGCTTCCGAGGATGGGGGACTGGCCTCTCTGCCCTTCTATTTTTCGTTGCCTAGTTAGTGACTGGGAGGGAGCTAAGCTTTTCTCAGGTGCGGCTCAGATCTTCCCCGGAGTGCCTAGGCCGGTGGAGTGGCTGGCATCAGCGGTACTCTCCCAAGCTCCCTGCTCGCCGCCGGCTGCCACTTCTCCTGGGTGACAGCTCTCACCGCACGTGGGCCCTGCTTTCCCAAAGAATGTCTTTGCTCATGGCTATAGCTTGCTAGAGGGTCCTGTTTCTCTAGTTATTTGGGGGAGTGGGGATTGGAGGGTGCCCCTTATGACAAAATTATTAAATTAGATTCCTCCTCTTCGCCTTATCAAGGTCTCCAAAGCAAGTAGCACTAGGAATTAAACTTAAATACTAGCTTCCCTACAGAGTGTGCTCAGGAGTGAAAGGGGGAATGAATCATTTAAGAGAGTTAAAGGCAGAATAATGAAGTAGTGTGGCTTTAAAGAGGAAGCAGCACATGGGGTGCAGGCACTGTAATTAGTGAAGAGTTCTGCTGATTTATTTAAATTATGTATGTAAAACCCCATCTCCCTAGGGAAGCATAAAAGTCCCTCATCCCTTCCCTGGGGATCCAAACAGGTAGCAGATTTTCTTTGTGAATGATTCCATGTGTTCTAATATTTTTATCAATTGAATTTTTTCTTTCCATCTCCTTTTTCCCCCCTTCTTTCTTCTCTGTTGTCCATAGGTGAGGAGACTTGTTTCAATACTCAGTTTAGATGCAGGGCCCTTTACTATACAGAATCTGAAGATGTAATTTAAACTCTTGACAAATTGCAACTTCTTTGCAATTTTATTTTCCTTTCTCTTTTTGCTGGAAATATTTTAGCTAACACCTGTTTTTAAAATGTCATTAGAGACCAGAGTAGAATTCTGAATGTTGGTAGTTGGCCAGAGGTGTAATTGTCGCTGCTGTACCTGTCTCCAATTTCCTATTACTATTAAGACTCATTGAGAATGGGTGATATGTGAAAATGAAAAACTTCTGAATGAAAACTTAGGAGTTTGTTATGCTTAAAAATGTCTCAAAATACTCTAGCATTGGATAATGTATACAAAACATCCATTTCTGGTCAAGTTTTTCAGTGTCCATCTGAAGATCTGTTACATGTAGATTGATATGAAATAACAGAAATAGGTTTGCAAGGTTCAAAACCTAATGATGTGATGTGCTGCATAATTGTGTGTATACAATTGTGTGATGTGCTGTAGTACTGCAGTGTACACTTCTAATTAAGGGGATGGTTTACTTAAAATTGTTTACTTGGTGTTTTAGAAACTGACACATAGTTGAGGAAGTGCCTGATGATGCTACAGGGACTGTCCCAGCAGCAAACCTAACTGCCTTCAGAGTAACAACTTCGCCAGATGCTTCTAATCCATTCTGGCTTACCGTCAGTATAGCTTGTCTTTAAGAATAAGTTTTGCCATCAAGAAACTCGAGAAATTTCCTTTAATTTGAGGGATGGAAAAGTGAGAAAAAAAACAACAACAACTGTCAACTGTACATGCATATGGGATGGTAGACATCACAGGGAATGCCTAAGGAATTTAAAAAAAAAATTAAGTTTGGTGTTATGTTGCATAATTTTTGGGTGATAAGTCCAAACAAGTTTGCTCTTAAAAACTGATAGTATATTTTGCTCTTAAAAATCACAAAATTAAGATATTTAGGGGGAAAAAAGCTAAAACTTGTGAACTTCTCTGTTTTTTTTTTTCAGTAGTAATGTGTAATTGTTTAGGTAAGTTTTCTGTAGATGGCAGCATTGGTGAGTTACATGCTTACACTATTTGGTTAAGACTTTGAAAAATATAACTTCATGATACCACTTATTTTTTTTTCAACAAAATATACCTGAAACCTGCAGCAACTAGTATTCTGAATGTAATTATTAATAATTTATAACCAAAGTTATCACTGTAGATATACGATAAATGATAAAAGTCCTCTTCCTTCCTACACTAGTGATCAAGTTGAATTTAGTTAATTGGTTTCAAGTCTTTACTCTCACATTTTGGGTCAAATCTGCTCATMAGTGGTGACTCTAAGGCCAAAACATTCAATTCATTAGTACACAGTTGTCAGTAACATGCTAAGAAAGCAGTGCTCTGGAGTTGTGTGGTACCACTCAAGAGTGGCAAGCTCCAGAGTGTAGACAAACTCTACAAGATTAAGTTAATTCATGATTTATTGGTTCCTCTGTTACAATTATCTATTATAAATTAGTGACTACTGAATTCAAGAGGATTGGATTTATGACCATTGGGGGCCAACACATGCTGAGGATATCTAGAAACACCAGGAGAGCAAATTTCCAAGGTTAGACCCATCTGAAGCCCCGGATGGTGCTTGTGAAGGCAGCTGCTGGTAGTAGTGATTCATATGCAGCCATTTAGGGCAGGGCAGATGCATTAACTTTCACTATGGGGGTATGGATGTATGGGGATTATTTAGAAGTGTCAGGTGAACTAATTTCTCTAAAATCACATTTGAAATTCTGTATTACTTGAAAAGTTTGTCAAAAAGTTTCTAAAAATCATCATACACCAACAAATTCAATTCTACTCAAAAATATGGAATTGGTCATGATCCCAGTTAGGGCTCCATATCCTAGACAGCAGTTGGTGTTTTGCCCAGTGATTTGAGAAATTGGCATTTTAAATGCTTTTCTAATGCACAAAGGAGCTTGCCTCTGGTTCAGATTCTGCCCAGAGGTTTGGCATAGGGAATGACAAGAATTGATTTGGCCAACTCTGTGGTGGGGATTTGGCCTTGGGCATCTAAACCCATATCCTGTTTTCAGGTATGTCCTACCTTTTGTTTCCTACCTTCTGTTGCAGCAGTTTGAGAGAACATTTATAACAAAGCCAGATGTACTTACAGATGCACAAATCCAAAAAATAAATGAAGAATAATTAGGACAAAATAAAACGATTTTCAATTATTTTATATATTTAAAAAAAATTTCCATTCCAGGGACTGAGGTTGTAGCTCAGTGATAGAGCACTTGCCTAGTATGTGTGAGGTACTGGGTTCCATCCTCAGCACCACATAAAAATAAATAAATAAAATAAAGATATTATGTCTATCTATAACCGAAAAAAAAAGTTAAAGAAAATTTCCATTCCACTTACTATAGTGTCTTTAGGCTGGTGAACTTTAGTACCTGCCTCCCCAACCCAATTCACAATTAAAAGACACATCTATATTGCAGCTTAACTCAAATGTAATTATATAGGACTCAAGATAAGAACCAAGTAAATTTAGATAGTGAGGTGTGTATATGTGTGTATGTTTGTGTGTGTATAAAACAGAATGATTTGATGATATAATACATATTCTTATTATCAACAGTGGACTCTAATATTTTCTATTCTATGCTGTTTGATTGTATTCTGTTTTATTAGAAAAATATTGGCTGAACTCATGTGATTTCACATCCCACTAATGGGTTGTGATTCAGTTGGAGAATTCTGTTTTCGGCCATAAATCTGTGCATGCCAGATTGAACTATGAGGCAGAGTCCTTTTAAAAATTGTCTTGCAGACCAGTTGACAGCATTGAATAGTGTCCATTTGGCACAACTCTGTAAGAGAAAAATTCTCCTACTTTTGCCTCCGAGTCATTTTTGGGTTTCCCTTTCCAAGATTTTTGGAAAAACACTGGTGTCTCCTGAAGATCTATTCTACTAGGCAAGTAAGAATCTGGACTGGCTGAGGGCAAGGGGCTGTACCTGAAGCAGCTTCACTGTGGAGCAGAGGAACTCAGAGGCCTGAGAAGCAGGATACTCCAGTAGAAATACATAACTGAGGCCCAAGTAACAGTCAGCAAAGGCCTCCTGTAAGGGAGCATGAAATGTGTGTATTTTCAAAGAGAAAGGCTTCAACCTGTGCTCTTGGATTGAATATCTGGGTGTCTTAAACAACAAATCATTTGTTTCTCACAGAGCTAGAGCTGAGAAGTACGAGTTCAAGGTGCTAGCTGATTCATTTCCCCAGTGAGGGCAAGCCCTTTTCCTGTCTTGTAGGTGGCCACTTTCTTGCTGTGTTTTCAGAAGGTAGAGAGAGGAAGGCGGGCCGGGGAGAGGAACCAAGCTTTCAGGTGTCTCCTTCTAATCCATAGCATCATGAGGGCTCCAATCTCATGACTTCATCCTAAACATAATTACTTCCCCTAAATCCCAACCTCCATACCATCGTATTAGGGATTAGGGCTTCAGCATATGAATTTTGAGGGGACAGTCAGTCCTCACCATGGCTGGTGAAGGATCAGATCTTTCTTTTCCCTTCCCCTTTCCTCTTCAGCCCTCTACCTGGGTCATTCTCCTGGTTAATGATTCTCATGCCCCAGCTTTTACCCTTAGACTATCCTTTAGGCCCCCACAGCCTATCTAGGGTATACTTCTGGCTACTGATCTTCTGCCACACATACTGCCTTTGAAGCTTACACCCTTTGGGGATGGTATGGTTTTAATCTGACTTGGAATTAAAAATATACCTGTTCAGTCCCTGTCTTGTTCTTTGTGCATGATTCTTTTCTTAGTCAGTGGATATAAGGGCAAGGTGGGATTGCAAGTGGTAGAATAGAAACTGACACTGTGTGGGCTCTTTGCAAGAATACTGACTGTTAGCTTCCGGAAGGCAGAGTCTGTGGGTTTGGCTTATTCACTATTGTGTGTGCATTGTCTAGCATTGAGCATAGTACTTGGCAGGTGTTCAATAAATGATTTTAGGGAGAAATCCTCAATGGTAATAAAGTGGACTGGGCACAGAAGGTGTTCCTCTTTCCTCTCTTTTTTTTTTTGAAATGCTGGTGCCTATTGGTCTTGATGTTAGGATCTCCATTC